GAGCACATAACCTAAAACGACAAGTTAAACAAAAAGTAGAGCAAGTTAACATCCAAAAGCATCGCAAAAACAAGAATTTTAGCAGTAGATAATTAAAAAGCACGTTAAAGATTTAAAAACACTCATCAAGTGACGTCATTAAGCCCCACCCAACATGCGCACCATCCTATCTTAAGGTACGTTAGTTACGTCATAATTTTAAGATTTTATGTTACGATAAAACTAAAACAAACCAACCAACCAACCCAACCAGGCCCGTAGCCAAAAATTTGGTTTGGGGGGGGGCTAAAACGTAGTAATAATTTTTTGGGTGGTAGGGGGGGCGGAAATGGTTGATGGATATTTGTTATTAAAGTTGGACTCATCAGTAAAAAACTGCTTTATTGTTATTAATATCATCACTGTATTTTAATTGTCAGTCACGCACATACACATCAATTGTCAAACAAAAGCGTCAATTTAAAATTTTAACCTTCGCGATTTCTTCGCTGCCATAATCTCAAGAACCTCATTCGGATCGATACCTAAGTTTCCATGAATTGACAGTACGGCGAGTGCACTAAGTCTTTCGTTGCCCGTTGAGTTACGTAAGTAAGTCTTGATTCTTTTCTTTGTCGAAAATGACCTTTCCACACTTGCCGTTATGACCGGAAGAGTTGCCAAAACTGTTAATAGATATTTGATTGTTGGATTGAAGCTGTACACATTCATTTGTAACACTTAAAAAACTACGAAAAAAATCAGTGTTGACGTTTGAGCCTCAAACTTTGAGGTTATGCGAACACTTTCATGTCTCCGGCTATTCGTAAGGTCAAAATGCACATTACTTACCTTTCAATTCATTATTTTTTGATTTCTTGAGAAACTCAACAATTCTTATTTGGCCTTGTGCACGTTTCATTTTAATTTCGATTCTCGTAAACAATATTTAACTTACGCCAGTAAGTTACTGGCGGTAACAGTTGCTTATCGAAACTGCAACTGAGTGTGAGTTCTGATTCGGATCGATATATCTCGAATTGGATCACGAAAAATTGCGCGGGAAATTTCAAACACCAGTAAAGCGTGAAGTTGTCATAAAAAATATGGCTTGTAATCGATAGACATATTTTTAAAACATGATTCACATATTTAGGAAAATTTTAGGGTTCGCGGAATTTCGGGGGGGGGCCGGGCCCTACGGCTGGCTACGGGCCTGAACCCAACACTTTTTAACAAAGGAACAACAAATTTATGAAATAAAAAAATAAAAAAAGTTCGACAACTTCTAGTAGATTGTTACGATAAAACTAAAACAAACCAACACAACTCAAGACTTTTTAACAAAGAAACAACAAATTTATCAAATAAAAAAATAAAAAAAGTTCGAAAACTTCTGAGTATCAAACCCGTTACCTCTCGCATGCTAAGCGACCAAATTCCAAATTCTTTATTATTCCTATTTTTACAATATACCGTACTCTCCCGAAAATTATATAAAACAAAATACGTTATATTGCCCAGGTGGGCACGGGTGCCAAAAGGGCCTAAGTCCAATTGGCCGTCGATGTAAGACAGGGTACAAATCGCAACATAGTTGTTCGTTTATTGAAGTGCAATCCTTGATATGCGCTTTGCGCTTATGGGGGAATTTTGATTTTTTACCTTGAAGGGATTTTCTTGTTAATGCCTAGGGCGTATTGAGTGTTTATTTTTTTGATGTTTATTCAGGGAAAAATTATTTAAAAAACAATGTCATATGTGGCTGAGAGTTTTTTGAGCCTTTTGTACAAAGTCTAATACGTATGTTAGTTGGGAATAAAGCTGGTATCGTAATAAGGGTGCAGTAATGTCCAGTAAAGCTGGTCGCTACACCCTCATTTGTAATATAAAGGTGTGCTTCTCGGTTGGTCGTCACACCTTTATTTATATTGTCACTACACCTTTATCTCAAGATAAAGGTGCGGCGTCGGGCGCTGTCGCTACACCTTTATTTAGGCGGTCACCTCACCTTTATCTCGAGATGAAGGTGCGGTGTCGGGTGCCGTCGCCGCACCTTTATTTGGCGGTCACCTCACCTTTATTTTATATAAAGGTGCGGTGTCGAGTGTAGTCGCTACACCTTTAATTGGCAGTCGCCATACTTTTATTTGGTATTTGTTGAGACCCGACGAGAAAAGGTGTTGGATTGGCCTCAGTCTGAGCTATCTAGCTTGACATCATTTTAATAACGCTCGGGGAACAAAAACGGATTATTATTATGACGTAACTAACGGGCCTTTAACATTTAAAATCGCGGCACGTTAGTGTGCCTATAGTCACAGCGTAATACTTATTCTTTCCATAATTGGGTGACAAACAAAAACACAACAATTTTTTAATAAGAATAAAGAATTTTATGACAAAATAAAAATTAAAAAAAACGTTACTTTGAAATGTTTTGTTTAATTTTATTGTAAAAAGTGTTTTTCCAGTTCTAAAAAACAATGTGATCTATTTTGCGTTCATAATGATTATAACACCGCTTTCGTAGAATGCGATACTTTACCCCACTCAAAATTTTGATTTTATAGGTTGGCTATACTTTATTAAACAGCATACTAGTAAAATAATATTTTTTTTCAAGCGGCCATGATATACAACCTTATATGCCTGTATAGAGATAGTTGAAGTGCGTCTTTTTCATTAGCGGCAGACAAAAAACTCAAAAAAGCCTAGGGATAGAAGTAAATCCATAGGTGTCTCAATAGACGTCAAATAATAAAATTAATTTAGCATTTCATACAAAGCAATCACGTTGTATTAATTATATTAATTATAATCGCACGGAATATTTAGTGATTATTTATTAAATTTTAATTGAACGAAATAAAGAACAACTAGTTTATTAGTATAATATTATGATGATAGACGAGTTGCCAATGTCGGAACTCCAAACAAATGTCAGTACGTCAAAATTAATTCAAGCGCAGCATTTTGACAGAGCAGGGTTTATTTTTAGTTTAGGATATTTATCGGCATTGTAAGTAAGGGTTATAAGTTTTTTTAGTTTTTATCAATAATTTCTAATGCTTTTAGCCAAAATTTTATACCACATGAGTTAAGAGTAAATAAAATAATTCCATTGCTTATCCTATTTATATTACGCCCTTGAAAAAAAAAATTGTATATGTTATTTGGAGTAGAAGCTCTTTTTGTGCTTCGTACAGTTGCCTGCCTCAGCTACGCTTCGGCCGTCAATCTCTGTACTCACCACAAAAAGAGTCGCTTCTACTCCTTATGACAATCTACTATTTGCATATTGGTTATAATATTTTTATGATTTTTCTAGTACTTACGAGACTTTTCTGGCAATAAATTTTGTTAAAACACCAAAGAAAATCCTTTTTTTTCTTCTAAACATTAACTGTGCGGGCGACAAAATGACGGCTTATGACATTAGTTATTTAATATACTATTATTAGAATTTTATTTACTATTTTAAGTTTTTTGACAATTTACAAAATTTAATTATTTTTATAAAAATTCAAGTTTTATTGCCAAAAATCATTTTTTTGTAAAAAATAATAATTTTATAAAATAAAATAAGAATTAAAAAAATATTCACTTTTACTTTCTTTGTTCAATTATATTGTAAAAAGTGTTTTTCTCGTTTTGAAAAGCAATTTTATTCGAATTCTGTTTATTATATCAAGTTTATAGCTAATTTACAAAATTTGATTATTTTTAAGGAAATTTAAGTTTTATTGCAAAAAATCACCTAAATAAGAATATTTCCTTTATTTCCGACTTAATTCATACTGATTCCCCGGCAAAGCATGTGCAGTATCGTGAGGGGGAGGAAAAATCTCAGCTCACTTTATGGTGAGTGAAGCAAAAAGAACGCGCACATTTGCGAATTTTACTGATGTGAGCTGAGATTAACTGAGATCTCAGGCGAAAAGAACGCACCTAATGTTAGAAAACATATGTTTTAATATTGATGTCATAAAAGATTTATGTGTTTACTTCGATATTAAGGCTTTAAGAATGCTGGAATTTGTTAAAAAGAGTATTGACGATTTTAATGTTCAATGAATTAAAACTGTTTATACATATGTCCTTCTATGACATAATGCTACATTTTAAAGTATTGTTGTTTAATTTGGTCCCCTTTTTATGTTAATTCTTGTGTAAGAATTGAAAAAGTTTAAAACAAGTTTTTGCGAAATTGTGGATTTAAATTAAACATTGAATTTAAATATAGCTTAGAATTGGTAAGAAATACAATAGGTACAACTAAATTTATCATGTCGTAGAAGAACAGTACTTGAAATTATTTTTCTATTTAAACTTCTAAATAATTTTATTAATTGCTCTGACTTATTAGGGCAGATTTATTTTATGTCCCGATGAGAGGGACGCGAAATATATTATTATTTCACATAAAAAACAAGAATCGGATATGCTAAATTCATGCTAATAAACAGAATGTGCTATAATGCAAACAAACTTGATTTGAATTTATTTAATTGCTCGATGGAAATATTACAAAAAATAATGTTATCAAAAAAAGATTACCAATTGTCAATCTTAATTTAGTTATTTTAGTGTATTTTTTTTTAAAAAAGGTATATCCGTTAATAAAGGTTATTATTTATTATTATTCACGAGCCCAGAATCATATCATTTGGCCCAGACAATATTTTATTTTTTACATTATTTCAGACAATATTGGTAAACACAAAAGAAAAATCTATTGAATTCATTATACACTGCCCGTCAAAATTAAAAAATTAAATTAAATTAAAAAAATTCTAACTCTAAAACGCCTTTACCAATCTTTATGAAATTTTGAATAAAAATACTTCAACAACTTATATCTCAGTTTAAGTGTTCAAGGGTTTTTCGAAAAAATATCCTTAAAGCCCTTTTATTTAATAATAAAAAACGCTCGCGGTGGCCAAGTGTTTGGTGCGTACTGGACCATAACACCCTGTATAATTTAAATAAACGTTTTTATGTCTAAATCTTATTTTTAGGTACACAATGACCAAATCCACCACAATAGTGTTCATACTATTTTTCTCTATTTTATTTAAATTGGAAAAAATGGTAATTAATTTCATATCATATCTATTATTACGTAAATAAAATTCAAATTCTTTTAGACATGGTCATTATGCGGAATTGTTGGAATGATTACAACAGGATTGTTATTGTTTACCTACAAAGCAACGCAATTTAATTTACTGGGATTTTTGTTGTTGCTATTGGCATCAATATCCAGTGGCTTAAGGTGGACTTGCGTGCAGATATTGCTGCAGAAGTCCAAATTGGGCATGAAAAATCCAGTTGATATGATTTATAATATGCAACCGTGGATGATTTTATCTGTTCTGCCATTTGCACTATGGATAGAAGGTAATTTTAGATCAACATCAAGGAATTATGTAAAAAGCTATAATCCATTTGAGTCATTCCAAATAAAAACACCAAATGGGGTGCGCTGCGTGATTTTTTATTTTGATGAAAAAATTTGAGGATGATCTTTTAGGTGTCAAATATGAAAATCCGTTGCCGTTTTAATTTTTTGTTGCTTTACTTTTATTTGGCACCCCTTAGAAGTCTGAAATAGTGTCAATTTCTTACTCTCTTATAGTGGGCCAGAACTTTTTTTCTGTGACAAATATTGAAATAATTTTAATTTTGTTATACTGTCCAGTAAGTGTGTTTTCGATATAAATTATTTTTATCCAATTAGTTAATCTCATAAAAGAATGGTAAACCACTAAAGATTCATGATAATTTGCCAATTTTTGTGATTTTTGTCTGGCTCCTGTGCCTATTCTACTGAATTTAGAAGGTTCATTTTTTTCAGGTATAAAGTACTTATACAATAGAAAACGTAACTATTATTTTAAGTTTGTAGACTATCAATTTCTTTATTAAAAAAATTATTGAAAATTGATAATTCTCAAAATTAGCCAATTTTGCCCTCAAAAATCATTATGTTGAGGAAAAAATAAAAATCTGAAACTTTCAGGAAATGTAGTCCCCACCTTCATCTTTTCAGTCCAGTTACTTGTTTTGTTATTTTTATTCCTTTAAAAGATATATTAATTTTTTTAATGGCCGTTTAGTAGCGATATTGTTAGTTTTATTTATAATTTAAAATTTAGATGGCTTTCATGTTTGGTGGAGAAGTGTCAGAACTGTCAAAAATATTTCATAAATATTATTTGTGCGTATTTCTTTGGTAAATTTTGTATATAACATAATATGTAATATTATGTTATATATAAAACTTTTTAAAATCACCAAAGGATGACCACAAATAATAATTATGAAATTTCTGATATTTTTGGTAGTTATGTTATATTTTATGTATATAGGTATATATATATATATATATATATATATATATGATTATATATTATATACATTATAATGAAGTATTTAATTGGCTAATTGGTGTTTAAAGAAGAAGAATGTAAAAAATATATTTAAAATCTTTATGTTATCGTTAGGTATAATAAGTGAAATTAATAAAGAGTTAATTTAAACTTATAAAAAAAGCGTTAAGCAGTTTTTTGTCGGTTTCTTTCACAATTTAAACCAAGTTAGTCTTGTTCTATTATTTTGATCCCTTTAGTAAGGCACTAAATAGTTAAAAGTTAAATGTATGTATTTTAAATGTTAGTGTTGCAAAAAATTTACACAATCTGTAAATACTTCTTTAAATTTTAGTTTTTAGATAATTGGTTAAAATAAAACATGTTATAATAAAGGGGTTTATTTAGAATATTTTTTGGTTTTTGCTTATTTTTAACAATTTAAAACTTCTCAGAACTTAAATATTTTCTATAAGAAAGAGGTACAAAATTTTGATATGTTCTTGCATTTTTAATTGCAATTAAATTCATGAATCTCGAACACTCCGTCATTTATAACACTTGCAAACTTGCAAACTTTAATAAAATTTATGAAATATTTTTGACAGCTCTGACATTTCTCTACCAAACATGAATTGACAAAGTCAAAGCCATCTAAATTTTAAATTATAAATAAAACTAACAATATCGCTACTAAACGGGCATTAAAAAAATTAATATATCTTTTAAGGAATAAAAATAACAAAACAAGACTAACTGGGCTGAAAAGATGAAGGTGGGGACTACATTTCCTGAAAGTTTCAGATTTTTATTTTTTCCTCAACATAATGATTTCTGAGGGCAAAATTGGCTAATTTTGAGAATTATCCATTTTCAATAATTTTTTTAATAAAGAAATTGATAGTCTAGAAACTTAAAATAATAGTTACGTTTTCTATTGTATAAGTACTTTATACCTGAAAAAAATGAACCTTCTAAATTCAGTAGAATAGGCACAGGAGCCAGACAAAAATCACAAAAATTGGCAAATTATCATGAATCTTTAGTGGTTTACCATTCTTTTATGAGATTAACTAATTGGATAATAATAATTTATATCGAAAACACACTTACTGAACAGTAAAACAAAATTAAAATTATTTCAATATTTGTCACAGAAAAATAAACTGCGCACCACTCAATGTGTCGCGACCAAAAAGTTCGTCCTTTTTCAAAACGACATAACTTTTTTGTTTTTTCAACGATTTTATTTTGGTCTGTAATGTCTGCTAGCCCCATCCTCTGGCAATTCATGCTATAGATATGAAGCTCACGGTTCTTTAAGTAAATTTTCTACAGGGTGATATGTTAAACGGTGAAAAATTTGAATAATTTCATCCAAGCCCCGTTTGAAAAAAGAAATATTTTTTCTCGTTTTTACTTTGAAATAATGAAGTATTACGTCTTACCTTTAAACGGTTTTCAAATTTTTCAAATTGGAACGATTAGCAACGAAAATATAATTGTTTTTTTCAAAAGAGTAGATTTAAGGCATTTTGGTAGACAATACACTCAGTCTTTTTAATAACAAAAAGATAAGATGGTGATAGATTGTTCCTTGAATATTTCTGAACAAGCGACAAGCAACAAATTTCCATTATTTTCAGAGGGGCCTAAGCAACGACCACTTTTTCAAAATGACATTTTGGTGAAAATTTGCGAAAACTAAACCTGAACCGATATTTACTTTCGCGACATGTTTTCTTTATAATTTTGACCTCCTCATTGTGATTCAGTTGTCAAATTTAAGTTTCAGATAAAACCAAAATCACCAAGAATTAAAATTCGAAAACAATTCCCTGCTGTTAAATGTCTTAATAAAAACAGATTGCTGGCGTGTTTCTTGCATATTTATGATTAAAATGCCATTTGGGGATTCATTTTTTGGGCCAAATTACTGCAATTTGTTTGAGTGGTTGGGATAATATTACATAACTTACATAACCTAATTGTTAATAAAGTTAAATAAAAATGTTTTTGTAAATTTTTTAAAATTTTATGCGAAGTTATAATCAAAACAGAAAAATGTAACAAACAATAACAATAATAACTTTTAATCTTCTGCGAACCGTTGATTTGGAGATGTTAATTCCCGTAGCTGCAGCAAAGTCTGGCATTGGCATTTTAATCATTTAAACTTTAAATGATTAAAATGCCAATGCCAGACTTTGCTGCAGCTACGGGAATTAACATCTTCAAATCAACGGTAAATTTTAAAGAAAGCATGGAAGTAACCTGGGTAAGATAGGGGTAGGTATGTAGGTAGGAAGGAATAACTTATGCAAAAAACTTCGAAATTTGGAAAAACACAAGCAAAAATCAAGAATATCCCTCATAATGCGTTTTTAATGTTTTTCAAGAACTAATTTTCATCATTTGATCCTCGACATGATAATAACGTACTAAAGATGCAAAACACAGTAAAAAACAGTAAAAACCAGCAATCGTATTTTATTGAGACATTTAACAGCCAGGAATTGTTTTCGAATCTTGATTCTTGGTGATTTTGGTTTTATCTGAAACTTACATTTGACAACTGAATCACAATCAGGAGGTCAAAATTTTGAATAAAACATGTCACTAACGTAAATATCGGTTTAGGTTTAGTTTTTGCAAATTTTTACCAAAATGTTATTTTGAAAAAGTGTTCTTTGCTTAGGCCTTCTAAAAATAATGGAAGTTTAAGCAACAATTGTTGCTTGTCGCTTGTTCAGAATTATTTAAGAAACAATCTACCACCATCTTATCTTCTTATTCCTAAAAAAACTAATTTTATTGCCTTCAAAAACCCTTAAATGTACTCTTTTGGAAAAAAAAATCATATTTTCGTTGCTAAGATTCCAATTTAAAAAATTTGAAACATGTTTCAAGGTAAGACATAATACTTCATTATTTCAAAGAAAAAACGAAAAAAAAAATATTTTTTTACAAACGGGGCTTGGATGAAGTTATTGAAATTTTTCACCGTTTAACATATCACCCTGTAGGAAATTTTCTTGAAGAACCGTGAGTTTCATATCTATAGCATGAATTACCAGAGAATGAGGCTAGCAAACTTCACAGACCAAAATAAAATCGTTCAAGAAACAAAAAAGTTAAATCGTTTTGAAAAAGGACGAACTTTTTGGTCGCGACACATTGAGTGGTGCGCAGTTTAGTTCTGGCCCACTATAAGAGAGTAAGAAATTGACACTATTTCAGACTTCTAAGGGTTGCCAAATAAAAGTAAAGCAACAAAAAATTAAAACGGCACCGGATTTTCATATTTGACACCTAAAAGATCATCCTCAAATTTTTTCATTAGAATAAAAAATCATGCAGCGCACTTTTAAATTCATTTTTGGTGTTTTCATATGGATTGACTCATTTAGAACCTGGCAATCCAGTGTTAGAGCTATTGCACTTTTGATAGAAACCATTTTCTATGGAAATTCGCAAATTTTAAGTTTGTTTTTCATAAAATGCAATTGGAGCTCACCCTAGGGTTATGTTGTAAATTACAACTTTTAATGTAGTCTGGGTTGCCTATGCTTTTTAAAATTGTGAGTTTGTTTTTTGCGAGGTTTTTTGTAGAAACCAGTTTGCTCCAGTGCATACTAGAGAGAGACATTCTTTTTAATGGATGAAAAGTCCCAAATTTTACTAAACATCCATGGATGTTATGGATGGATACTGCAGTGTATACACCAGTGGCAGCTGGTGGATTTTGGGTATACCAATATATATATATATATAGTTTTCGAACTTCAATTTAAATTCTGTTTGCGTCGAACTTGTTTATTTAATGTCATTATAAACTATTATAAATTTGATGAGGGTCCCATGTCTAATAACTGAGATATTGGTATACATAAAATCCACCAGCCGCCACTGGTATACACTGGATTTATAAATTTTATGTTATGTATGTATGATGTTATGGATGGATACTAAATTTAGATTTATAAATTTTACTTTACTTTACCCTTGCCCTGTGATTTTTTTTGGCCAATTAAATTACCATGTTTTGTGTGAATTGCACCTCTAATAGTTAATCTATTTTTCTTATTTTAGGACCTATAGTAGTTGAAAGCTTGAATTCAAAATTTGACTATGCAGTTTTTGTGACATTTATTATGAGAATATTGTTTGGTGCTTTTATAGCCTTTTTTATGGAATTCAGTGAAGTGACTCTTGTAACATATACCTCAAGTTTAACATTATCTATAGCTGGTATTTTTAAGGTAAATATTTTTTTAAGGTTAAATTATCCATATCCACATGTGCACAAATGACACAATAAGGAGTTATTTTAGGTACCGTAAACACGGGTGGCTTTGCACCCCGCGGGTGACTTTAACCCTTTTATGAAAAATCTTGTCGCGCTCGATAAAATTAACATTTATAATTTGTTGGTCTAAACCTGTCAATTGAGCGATTCTATTAAGTTTATATTACAGGAAAATCAGTGTTTTTAAGAAATAAATGGGATTTATTACACTTTAAAATTTTATATATTGCATCACTGCAAAACTCTTAAAAATACACGCGTTACAATTTCTTTATTATGCACAATCCTTTGGAATGATGATCCTTGGTTAACTACAGGTCGATTTTTTATTTTTTTTATCGGTAATCCCTTGCAATCGCTATATGTCGCTTCTAACATGTGTCTAATAAAAATAAAATAAAATATTGAGTTAATTTTATACGGAAAATACACTGTACCCGCAACCAAGGGGTAACTTTGCACACCCAGTCTTTAATTTTTATTTTTGAAAATCAGCCCTATGTAATATTATAACATAGTTATTATGAAAGACAATATTTAATGTTTATGATTGTTAAAACCACAAAAATTTTAAGCTTAAGTTTGAAAGTGAGCTAAAGCTACCCGTGTTTACGGTATACAAAATTACTTTTTTTTAGTAGTTTTGAGTTATTATTAAAATAACTAATTAATATATGTGACGCGCGTCAAGAAAACGTCCAAAAATGAATTGTCAATTTTTATGTTAAACAATCTGAAAATTATTAATTTGAGAATCCTTAATATACAGGGTGTACTAAAATCACCGGACCAAACGAAAGGGGTCGATTCCTTTCGAAAATCTAAGATGAAATTCCTTTAACACTTTTTCGAATTCGCAAAATTGCAGGGGTTATTTAATTTTTAAGGCCGCCAATGAGGGTGTCTCAAAATTGATAGTATTGCAAAATTGGCGACCCAAAGGGTAAAGTTAATTCCTCTTAAAATTTCAAGACGAGTCCTTCCCATTTTTTCGAAATCGCAAAATTGCGGGAGTTATTTAGTTTTTAAGGTCGCCAATGAAAGCGCAGGGTTTCTGCTCCATAGCCATTTGAATATGCACTTGCAAGCGACAACACGCACCGAATTTGTTTTTGTTTACTTTTTCCAATGGTATAGATATAATATCAGCGTCTTTTGCAAACTCAAAAACTCGTTCGATAGAGCAAAAATTACATAACTCCTGCAATTTTGCGAATTCAAAAAAACTTTACCCTTACCGTGTGATCCGCCAATTTAAAACTTTTTATGAAAAATATTAATTTCTTTATTACAAACTTATCTTACCGAATTGTTCATCTAATTTATTTTCCTTTTTTAGGAAGCATTTATTCTAGTCTTGGGCGTCAAAGTAAACGGCGACATAATGACCCCAATCAACACATTAGGACTGTTGGTGTGCCTTGGCGGCATAGCCACCCATGTGATCCACAAGCTTCGAACGTCTACCGCTCGGCAGCACAGTCGGTTCGAGTTTGAGAATGATCGGCTCGAGCTGAACGATAAACTAATTTACGAGGAAGCGCTAAAAACCGACACGGACAGTGACGGCGAAAAGAGCGACTCTCAGGTTTTGTTCGACATTTTAAATAGACACGACAGGTGATTTAAGTTATAAAAGAGTATTCAAGTCAATTTGTTGGTATTCAAGCCTCAATTCGATTATTATATATTGGAATGGTTACTGCATCATTTATAATGTGTGATAGATTTTTATAACCATAGCACTAAGGTTACGATGATTTGTGTTTAAAAAACGCATTTATTTTTTACCTACTTTTAGAATACCGTATTTGGTCCATTACAAATAAAATTTTCAAGCGTTAATTTTAAGACTACTTTTATTAACATTCCTATTTGACTTTTTTTTACTAAAATTATGACTTAAATAAATTTAACAATTTTGTGTATCTTTTTAAAGGCTTGTGAATAGGTTTATTAAATACTCCATTATAAGTATTGTTTTTATGTTTTAAGTTATATTTTTTTGAAACCATGTTTAAAACTGACATTTCTAAATAACATAAAATAAGTAAAATATGTATATTTTATTCATAAAGACTATGTATACAGTATAATTTTTAAGAGTAATATTTAAATAAATGTTTTTATATAAAATTGTTTTAAAATTTAATCCTTTTGGGGAAAAGGCAAATGAGTGTAAGTATAAGTTTTGCCCTAAATACGCATTGGTTTGTCCGTCTTTGTCTTCCAAGTTTTTGTTCGATTATTGCATTTTCCAAGTATGTTTCTAGGTTCCTATGTTTATTTAAGTCTCGGTTAGTTTACATACACACTTTTGTCTATTGGAAAAGGTCTTTTAAATTTATGGATTTTGTGACTTACTTGGTAAATGATTTATTTCAAATAAATTATTTGTCTTGCTCGGCTGTAATCCCGTGAATCCCAGCGACAAGATTTGGCTTGGATTTATTGTTTTTTGTATTGTTTTGTTACTATTGTCTTATTATCAATGTCCCTGTTGCTCTCTGTTTTACATTGTTTTTAATAGGTTTAATTTTTTACTAGGGTTGTGTTATTTAAGCGGAAAGAACCGCTCTTGGGGTTGTGTAGGTATCTGAACGTGGTTAATGTTGCAGTATTAGGTCATGCAGTCAGTAATAAGAGTACTTATTAAATGTTTGTCTGCCAGGTATTCTGTCACTAATTACTTCACATTCTATTACTACCGTGACCGTAAGGTAGCCTTTAATTCACTGTAGATACAATGTTTATTTGCACTGGAGAGTAGTTTATTTTGGGATGTAAAATTTTGGTTTTAAGCGAGGTCTGGGTTACTATGTCTTACTTCGTCAAGAGTTCTAACGTGACTGATCCTTTTGTGGAAAGGCAAATAAAACAAAAATTGTACATTTATATACATTTAATATAAGTTATGGAATTTTAGTATAGAATCTATATTTTAAATTGAAAATTAGCAAAATGGATAGGTAAAAAATAACACTGATTAACAACACCCAAGCAAGGATGACATTATTTACTGGATCTCTACTATTTAACATCAAGGAAAGGGCAATTCCAAGCACGCGGACGGCACAAATCACAAAACTGTTTTTATAAAAAATTGTAGGTAATTTATTATACTGATATAATGATACCACATATTCCTGAGACCAAAATAATGCAATATAACTAAATTTACTTTTATACAATAGTTAATAATAAGTTACTAATAATACAGGTTGTCAAAGTTGAAAGTTCCTTTTCGATTTTATTTAATAAATGTAAAAAAACGTTTTTGAACAAATTTGATTTTTGGCTTTTGGTTTTTCACGCCAGAAAAATTTAATGTTGGTGTAGGGTATAGAGGGCTCCGTCTGCGACACTTTGCATATACATCTTTTGTACAGACACCTTTTTTGCGCCTTAGTGTATTTACGTTTTTAATAACAATTTATTATTTATTATGTAAAAAAGTTATGCTTTCTAAATGTACCATTAGGAGACGCTACAAATATAGTTACACTCGAATTGTTTTTCAAAATTTATTTTTACATATTTTAAAAAGAATATTTCAAGTTGGAAGCTGAAAAACCCTCAAATATCTAAGTTATTTAATAAAATCGAAAACGAACTTAAAACAACCTGTATCTTGTGGTATTATTTTGTACAGGAATTTCAGGTAGTGTTTCCAACTCAATAAATACAACAATATAAACTGAACATTGCAGCAATACGTCTTTTCTTATAAAACGCTGAAATATAGAAGATTTAGCTTATATATTTTAGGAGCATAGAAGATAGAAGATTTTGGTTAAGTATATGTTACCCGCAAAGTAAAAAATCCGGCAATGTGCGAAATGTCTTGATATTATGCAAACTGACCACCACATTGTGCAAAATCACTTCCATTTTGGGCAATCTGCAAATTTATTACGCTATTTTAGGCAATCTGCAAAATGGCTGATGCGATAGTCAATCTGGGAATTAAAGATTTTTACTCCTAACAATGACTAGGCAGTGTACGCAATACTTTTACTTCTGTCGAACTTCGCTATTCAGTTACAGATTCATAATGGCAAGCGGGAAGAAAGGAATATTTTTTGAGAAATTTAATACAGTATGCAGTAAAAACTCAACTCAACCCAACCCAACCCAACCATTATATAAATTACGAGTGTTTGTTAAATTAATTTTTGTTTGTAGTTTTTCTTTTCTAATAACAAAATTCAGTTTTTTACATTTGTGTCGTAAATTATAATAATATAGTGTTGCGCACACTGCCTAGTCAATGTGAGAAGTAAAAACCTTTAATCCCCGCATTGACTATCGCATCAGACATTTTGCAGATTGCCTTAAACAGCGTAGTAAATTCGCAGATTTCCCAAAATGGTAGTGATATTGCACAGCATCTAGACATTTTGCACATTTTTACTTTGCCGGTAACATATATATAACAAGATTTGTTAAATATAGAAAGCCTAGCAACCCTAAAATTCATGAATCCCTGCAGGGAAACTTTTTATATTATTTTGGCATCAAAATTATCAAAAATGTTCTTCTTTTAAATAAAAGAAACAAGCAATATTTTATAAAAGTAGAGATAATTTTAATAATATTTCTCTTGTTTCCACTTTTATAAAAAATATTTTATTTTTATATATAGCCTAAAAGAGATTATTTTTCATTATTATAATAATATTATAATAAATTACCTTCATTTTTTTTATAAAAATTTGTCCGGTCTGCATGCTAGAAATGGCCCAAAAAAGGAAATTAAAGCTAATACAGTCTTAATCAGATTATTAGCACTCCTTTGTACTAAAGTTTTAATAATGTAAAATTTTCAACCCACGGGAGCACTAATAATTTTATTGTCCAAAAAATGGCCCTTCCAAGTATACAGGGTGCCGAAAATGGCGCACTTATGCTTTACCACTTGAAAAATAAGGTGTTTAAAATGAATGAATTTTGATTTTAGAATATTTATTTACATAAAAGGAAAAAAATTGAAAACAGTTTCAATGATTTAAAGTCTTGATTTTTTGACACAAATAATGGAAAAAAATAGTGATGTAAACTAAAAAAAACGTTTTGTAAAAAAAGCGTTTTTTAGAAATTTGTTTTCTTCAGAAACATTGTTTTCCTTAATAGATATTCTATATTATTGCACGCAGTATGACGGTTAACATATCGATATCAAAGCGATCTGTTTCTTATTAAACTTATTCGTTATAAAAGGGTATTCCCCGAAAACAGTTGCGGAAGATGACGACGGAAGAAGTTGTAGCATGATACTACATAAGACTGGTAATGTAACGCGCCGTATTATGCAGCTGACGCGTGGATCTAAACTGTTCGACAGAAAGGTCGAGAGAGAGAGACAACGGGGGGTTATGCGAATCGTTCAGTTCTCTGCGAAATTAAGGAGACGCCTGTTAATTTATTCAGTGTCCGAGACTATTTTATTATTACAATGGTTAAGACTTGTTTTGTGTCTAAGGGTAAAAGTTGTTTAGAGAAAGTGTATCTATTTAAAGTGCCAGAGAACAGATAAATAAAGATTATGATATTACATAATAATTATGTATTAGCATGATAAAAATTAACAAAAATTGCGTTGTCACAATATTAGGTAAAATATTAGATATTATTTATGTTATATTTATTGTATTATTACTAATAATTTATTAGGTCGATATTTTAATTTACACATAATATGTATAATATACATAATATTTATTATTAAATTAAACTTTACAATTTGTTTGTAAAATTAAAATGATATTAATCATAAATTAAAAAAATTTAGTCATAATATAATTATGTAGACTCAGATATTATTTATATTATATTTATTATATTACTAGGTAATTATTTTAATTTATACATAATAGTATAATATACATATTATTTATTTTTGAATTAATTTTTTTTATATTTTGGAAAATTAAAATGATAAAATTATAAATTAAAAAATCTCCCCCTTGAAAATCCCTAGATTGTCTGACGACTATATTACCAGGATGTCCCATCTATCTCTATAAAGCGGTCAAAATGCAAAGGATAATTATTAAACAGTCTTCAGCTGTAAAAAAGCGTAAAAAAATCTTTAAAAATCTAAGCGAGAATCATCAATGTAAGTAATCAGGGTGTCCGTTATTTCTCAAGTCGGCCTTTTCACTTGGGTATCATCTTAATTATTTTTTTATTTATTATTATATTATTATTATTATATTTTTTTTTATGCTAGGGATTTGCAAAACATTAACTTTTTGTCAAATTTTATTAAGAAAAAAATAAAAAAAATGTTTATAAGAATGTAACTGCAATACTATTTTTAGTATCTTTTACTTTGGAATATTCCTATTGTATACTGAAACCTAAAAAATAAAAATAAAATGTTTACTATTAGAAATTCACTGCTAGTAAATCCTAGATATTTCGTAAAAAAATTAAAAGGGACACACGGCTCCCCGGAAAGGGGGGACTACCACAAAGTTTGGTCACTGAAAATTTTTCGACAGGGTTTCGTTCGTTATTGTATTCTGAGACGGAAAACACCGAAAAGTAAATCGAAGCAACTCCTTTTTTTAATTTTACGAGAAAAATCTATTTTTGCCCTAAATTTATTTATTAAAAAAATATTTGGGTACAGAATTATATATTAATCATTTATTTATTTATTTAACACATACATAATATGTGTATTATACTAAACATAATACTATTTTAATAATAATATGGGATACAATCCTATAGTTATAATTCAAAATTCCTTTTTCAAATTTTATAAAAATTAACAACTTGATTTTTTATCAAAAGGAATACTTTTTAAATTATAAACATTTTATTAAGATCAAACATAATTTCTTCACATTGACTTTAAATATGTGTACTATTATATCGACAAATGGCACTTAATATTCTATTATCAAACTCAGCATGACTCTCAGACACTTAAAAAAAAGCCCATACTTTTTCAAAATTTTGTAAAACTTCAGCATATTTGACACAATTTAAACTGTACTCTTTAGAATTTCTTAAATTATCTGTTTTTTTCAATAAATTTCTGCAAGCATTGCCATTAAAAGATGCACCTCCATGCCGCTTATCTAGTTGAACATTGCATGCTTTAACCCATTTTAAATCATCTTCATTGCATTCCTTCATCATATGACTCACAATGTAATTTACTACGCCTAACATAAATGTAGTTCAGGTGGCGTCAAAATGTCATTTATGGCATGTTCTTCTAATCCCGAAATTATTGCAGGATTTACTAACTAAAATATTTTTTTGCATCTTTCTTATTTGAACCCGCCTTATACCATTCTAAATATTTTGTCTTGCAGTTTTCGAAGGTTCTTAAAGCACTAATTTTATCAAGTTCATGTTTGTTTGCTGTACACCAAAGACATGGGTACATACTTGAGTGGGAGCCTATACCAAGAAATATGTTTAGGAGCTTTGCAGCGATTGTATCATAACATTTTTCAATTTTTAAAAGTGTCCATAATACAAAAATGTTGTTATGGTTTTCTTGCACATTTGCAGCCAAGGCAAGAATAAATAATTTTTTAATATTACTACCATGGACCATTCTAGGACGTTTGCTTTGACTCCCAAAATTTTCACTTCAGTGCAAAGTACTGATAAGCATATTTTTAAAAAAGTACCTCCACCGTCCACTCCAACTTTTATGTGTGTTTCAGAAATATTTCTTTTTTCTTTTATAAAATTTAAAAAACCAATAACATCTGAACAATAAACTACAGTTTTTGTCACAGTTGTTTTCTTTTCTTTTTTCAAATTAATGAAAGTTATTTCTTTTACATCAAAAAAAGAATCAACTTGATGACTTCTATCCATTAGAGTTTTATCAATAAATGAACTAGAATGGTATATTCGGATTCAAATAAGAAAGATGCAAAAGAATATTTTAGTTGTATTAATCCTGCAATAGTTTCGGGATCAGAAGAACATGTCATAAATGACATTTTGACGCCACCTGAACTACATTTGATGTTAGGCGTAGTAAATCACATTGTGAGTCATATGATAAAGGAATGCAATGAAGATGCTTTAAAATATGTTAAAGCATGCAATGTTCAACTAGATAAGCGGCATGGAGATGCATCTTTTAATGGCAATGCTTGCAAAAATTTATTGAAAAAAGAGTACAGTTTAAATTGCGTCAAATATGCTGAAGTTTTAAAAAAATTTGAAAAAGTTGTAAAGGACTGTTTTGGAAATGAACTTGCAGAAAGTTTAGAAGATAGTATAAATTATTTTAAAACTTGAAAACTTAAAATTGAACTTACCTGTTACACCAAAAGTACATGCAACATTTTATCACGTAAAAGATTTTAGCGCAAAACATAAAAAAGTCTCGGATTTTACAGCGAGCAGGCTTTTGAGTCAGTTCATTATGATTTTCTAAAAGTGTGGGCTTTTTTTAAAGTGTCTGAGAGTCATGCTGAGTTTGATAATAGAATATTAAGTGTCATTTGTCGATATAATAGTACACATATTTAAAGTCAATGTGAAGAATTTATGTTTTATCCTAATAATTTGTTTATAATTTAAAAAGTATTCCTTTTGATAAAAAATCAAGTTGTACATTTTTATAAAATTTGAAAAATGTTTTTGAATTATAAGTATAGGATTATATCCCACATTATTATTATTAAAATAGTATTATGTTTAGTATAATACACATATTATGTATGTTTTAAATAAATGATTAATATATAATTCTGTACCCGAGTATTTTTTTAATAAATAAATATAGGGCAAAAATGCATTTTTCTCGTAAAATTAAAAAAAGGAGTTGCTTCGATTTACTTTTCGGTGTTTTCCGTCTCAGAATACAATAACGAACGAAACCCCGTCGAAAAATTTTCAGTGACCAAACTTTGTGGTAGTCCCCCCTTTCCGGGGAGCCGTGGACAAAGTAACATATAGGAATATTGAAAAGTAAAAAGAAAAGTAAAAAATAATTCCAAACACTAGATTTTTTTCTTGGCATTGTGTTGTGCCTATAAATAAACAACAAAAATATAAGAATGATTTTAACTTTGTTTATTGTTTTTATTTTCTTTACCTTTTTTTATTCATTGAGGTTATGTAACATAACTTTAACATTATTTATACTTCTTCTTCTGTTCTGCTTTAAATTAACAAACATTAAATTCTTATTCAAAGTTTCTTGGCCTTGTATCATGGCCTTAACGAAAATCAGCGGTTAAACAATTGACATTTAAGTGAAAAAAAAACAAGGAAAGTTTCCAAGGAATGTTTCCGGTAGCTTAAAAGAAACTTTCAAAATGAAAATAAATTCCCATTAGGAAACTTTCCAAAACGGAAAGTTTTCTTAAAATGGAAACTTTCCGATTCCCATCTCTACAATTTTGGTAAAAAAAAACATTTTTCGATGTCGTTTACCTAAATTATAAGTTTAAATTATAAGAAAACATTCATAACTTGCTAATAAATAGGAAAATTCAAAAAAATCGTGGAAAATTTTAAGCTTTACAAAAAATAAAAAGTATTTTTTTTCCAAAGTGAAAAAAGCAAACGTGGAAAATACTTGGTCATATCGCTCATTCGAAACAACAATGATACAACTCAAAAATCACAGTTTTTCAGAAAACGCATTTTAAATTTCTTATTACTGTTTTTTAGATAGTATGCCTAAACAACCAAATATTTGAGTCTAGCTTTTATAGGTATTTACAGGGCTTGGTAAATAAAAAACATTAATAAGAAATTTAAAATGCGTTTTCTCAAAAACTGGGACTTTTGAGTTATCATTGTTGTTTCGAATGAGCGATACATTCCTTTGTATATTTTCTAGCTCCTTACAACATTTTATGGATGTTAATATTCATCAAAGACCATTCAGGGTTCGACCGATATATATCATATTTATCACGATACATATCGATATTTATAAGCAAAGATATATATTTCAATGATATTTATAAAACTGTTTTTAAAGGTGATCTATTATAATATTTTAAAAAAGTATAAAATTTTCTTAATTGATGGCGCTGCTACTGCCTTCCTTTTATATTTATTAATAAATTTATATGTCCTGAATTGCCTTCAAAATTTTTTTCGAAATTATTTTGTGTGTAAATAATATTCATTGAGATAAGTAATTGTTACCTTAATTTAAAGTTTTAAGATGTTGTCCAAAAATTGTTTATCTTTGCAAATAATTTTTTCTACCCCAAAGATTATTATTTTTGCCATTACCAAATTAATTTCGACTCACTCTATCAGTTAAAATTAATTTGCTTTTTATAATTTTTATTACCTCATGCTAATAGATAAAATTTAAAAATGTTTATCGTTTCACTGTCCCATCCTCTTTTATAAGTATTAGTATTGATAGGTAATTGTGCATAAAGTAGATAACTCGTATTAAATCATTGTTTTACTATATTTTCCTCTTTTACTGATATTAATTATGCATAAAGAAATTTATTAAATTAATTTAACTGTTTTTAAGATGATATCGAAAAATATTAATGCAGTGCATGTTCCTTTAAGAAAAATAATTAATAAACGTTTAAATCAAGCTTTTTACTATAAAGTTATATGGATTTCAGTCGGCCACAAGCCCTCTCTATCGCTATCTCTCTCACCGGCCGCAGTGCCTTGAAAGCGGTGCGACAGATTACCAGTCTTATGTAGTATCATGAGCTGTATTTTGCTTTGTCGTAGGTTTTAAATTAATCTCGTGGAAGAAAACATTCTTTTTTCTGGGTAGGTACGTAAGCACAAAATCCCGTATTTCCCGAGTACTAAGCAGTACTAAATGCTGAAACTGTGTAAAACGACGATTTCTAGTAGAAATTTTCCATTTTTCTTGTGTCAGGAAGTATTTTGGTCCAAGCTAGGAGTTTGTATGCTACTATGGTATCTTTAAGATACACTAGATGCTAAACTTGTCCTTGTTAAAAATTGTTTTTTTTTATTTTTTTCATAAAAAACAAAAGCTTCTTTATGTAAATAAAAGGTTATCGTAAACACGGGTGGCTTTGGCTCACTTTCAAACTTCAGCTTAAAATTTTTGTGGTTTTAACAATCATAAACATTAAATTTTGTATACCAAAATTTGAGTCTTGAGTTGCTCTTTCATAATAACTAAGTTATAATAGTACATAGGGCTGAGTTTCAAAAACATTCAAAACTGGGTGTGCAAAGTTACCCCCTGGTTGCGGGTTACTTTGTCTAACAGTGTTTTTTCAGTATAAAATGAATGTAATATGTATATCTTATTTTTATTAGACACGTGTTAGCAGCGACATATATCTATTGCAAGGGATTACCAATAAAAAAAATAAAAAATCGACCTGTAGTTAACCAAGGATCATCATTCCAATGGATTGCGCATAATATAGAAATTGTAACGCGTGTATTTCTAAGAGTTTTGCACTGATACGATATATACAATTTTAAAGTGTAATAAATCCAATTTCTTTCTTTAAAACACTGATTTTCCTGTAATATAAACTCAATAGAATCGCTCAATTGACAGGTTTAGACCAACAAATTATAAATGTTAATTTTATCGAGCGCGAAAAGATTTTTCATAAATGGGTTAAAGTCACCCGCGGGGTGCAAAGTCACCCGTATTTACGGTATTTTATAATTAAAAAAACGTTTTACATCACTACAAAAAATACATTTCAACTTCAACTCCAGCTGTTTTATTGTTTCCATTGTATTTTTGTAAACTTAAAAACACACTTCTTATGCCATTTTTGGGACACCCTGTATATAACTATAGTAAAATAAGATATAATAAAAATATATTTTAGTTATGTTTGAAAAGTGTAATTCATTCAGGGACACATTTTTAATAATAAAGTACCTCTAGCCAGATTGTAAAAAACAATTTTCAAATCGCAAATGAAGTTATTATAAAAGTTAGGTATACCTATAGGTTAAGAAACCAATCAATGATATTTCTACAACAATTAAGGTGCTGTTGTGCCATTTTTTGGACCATATATGAAACATTTGAATATTGTATTTCCATTAAAACATCAAACATTTACTTAACTAGCAAAGTGGGCATTCCAGCATATTTTCCGGGTATTTTCTTTTGCAATTTTGCCTCAATGCTATCATTTATCGTCTTTGTCATATTCTCAAGTTCTTCATCATTATATGTAAACATAAACTTACATTTTGTAGGATCCACTTTTTTACTGTCGAGCAGTTTTAAAGCATGTTCAAGGCAATAGGTTGCATTTCCTTTCATATCAAATAGCTAAAAAAAATATTATAACATTTATTGAAATTAAAAGGGAAAAAATATTACCATTGAAACAAAAAGGTTCATTCGGCATGATTCACATTCATAATCTCCTTCCTCTCCTTGCAATTTCTTCTTTTTCCTTGCATTAGGCGCGTCTGGAAGCGGCATTTTCTCATTCTCTTTTATACCATACTTCTCCAATTTCAGTCTACTCTCCTTTTCCTTATCACATAGCTCCCTAATGTAGGGGATAATTTGCCTCAGCACTTCAACATTCGACCTGTTATCAGTTGCAATACTTAGTAATAGACGATCCAATGAAAACATCGAAGGTTCACTACTTTGCCGCAACTCATTAAAGAGAGATCTTGCCGTCTTCAACCAATTAGGCGGCGCGAAATATACACTTTCAGACACCACGTAACCTGTACTTATACTTGATGTAAAAGCTTTTGGAAACACCACCACAAATTCACCAGGTTGTTGGACTGTTCGGCAGAGGGAAACGTTGTTCTCTATTAAAAGACTAGGAGGAATCATGGCTGTATCAGATGTGAGCCACAAAGCCTTGTTTCGACAGTAATTTGGCATCAATTTCTTTAAAGCAACTCTAAAATTTTCGGCGTTCGAATCGGGAATTCCGTACCAGATTTTTTTACCACCTGTGTGAAGGTATTCTATCCACGGTAAACCGTGTGGATCTCGATACCAACAGCAAGCGGCAAACACCATGCCCAAGTGAAGTGTTGGAACAGTCACTCCTAAAATATTGACCATGGGAAATTTTCCAAAAACAATGACATGTAGTTTCATATAAAAAAACATCATAAGTAATAAATATTATTACTAGATTAGATTTTAGGTAGCAAAATTTATAAAACTAAGTACCTAAATATATTTATAGGTATAGGTAACGTTTTTTCTAGTTTTAGGTGAGTACATTACTGGAAATTACTGTAAAATTACTGGAAAGCAATTTTTAGATTGTAAAATTATACAATTTTATTGAACAAGATTAATACTATCATATAATTTTTTAAAGCGGCGGCACATTTAAAATGTTTTTGTAAACAAGCATGCAATTGTAGATAATAAATAAATCACATTAATTATGATAGACAAATGTTTTTAAAATAACTTTTTCACGAAAAAACATAAATTTGCTTGAATTTGTGAAAATGCAGGATATTTTGAAATAAAACGTGATAACATGAGTTTTATTGGAAAAACTTGAGATCTCATGTAAAACCATGAGAATTGGCAACAATTCACAGGAATTTCACATTCGCTATTACCAATCACTATCAACCAACCCATATTACCAATCCTGTACAACAAAAATAACTACATAGTGCATAAGAATTATGTCATCCAAATACAACCCCAATATAACAAAAAAAGGATGTTTTTGATATTAAAATTTGAAAATTTGGTTTATTTCTGTTAAAAAATACAATTTTGGTAAAATAGGCTCAAATGAAATCATTTTCTGGAAAACGAATTTTATTTCAATGCACCTAAAGTTATGATTAGCGTAGACAAATAGGTAATAACGCTAAAATCCCACCTCTATTTATTACGTATGATGTTTTTTATTATGGTGCGTCGACAAACTCAATCATTGGCACCGATCGAGGATGTATTATTAACATTCTAACGATTAATGGAAAAATTAAAGCATTTAGAAATAAAATAATAATTATTATTACCTACTCCATCTATAAAAATATGTGGTCGAAAAATATGTAAATAACAGAGGCCCACAAAAAAAATTAAATGGTCTGCGCCATTTTTTAAACAAACAGAAGTTTTTATAAGAAATGTTTTTTTTGTTAAACGCATAATAAAAAAGTTTTTCGTATTGGCACACGATCCAGGGAAACATCTAGACGTGTAGGGGCTAAACTGAGTTCAGATTCAATTTCAGCGTTTGAAAAAACTTAATATGGTCTTATTCATGGCACAGACCAGTTCTTTTTTTGTGTAATTATTGTTTTTTAAGGAATTTAAGTAACACTTTTTGACAGAAATCGGCTAATTAAAATTTAAAGAATACTACCCAGGTAGCACACTGACGTCTGCTGACGTTTAAATGACGTCGGAAGACGTCATTTAAACGTCATCAGAAGTCAGTATGCTACCTGGGTAAGTCACAAAATGCATAAATGTTTTAAACTCCGTCATTTGCTAATTTTTTTTAAAGAAATTTCCAAGAATGTACAAAAAACGATAAAAATGCGATTTTAGGAATATAAAAGGTTATAATAAAGGAATATAAAAGGTTATAATAAAGATTATTTCCCTCATTAAAAGCCTTGAATTTTCAAATAAATTTCGTTTAAATAAGCGATTAAATCACTAGACCTATTTAACAGCGATTAAATTTTAGCCTCCATATTGGATTTTTGTTTACGATTTTATGGTGTTATTTACAAGTTTTAACAAACATTTTTTAAAAAACTATAAAAAATAAGTTATCTAGTTTACGAAATATCAATTATTACTTATTACATACCTTAAATTAATGGAATTTTCTTTAAAAAAATATTTATAAATTTTGACACATACGTCAGATTTTATGAATTGTTAAATAGTTTCCTTTAATTCGAGAAATAATCTAGACGTATATCACTCAACCTATAAATTTAATCTGTCAAACTATGCTCAGTAAGTTTTTTATTTGATTTTTCTTTTTGGAAAATAGTTTCATCCAAAATAATTAAAAACAAAACCCATCGACCGCTACGCGGCCTCGTGATTTTATTAAATTATTTTGCATTAAACATTTTCCAACAAAAACCAAACAAAAAACTACTGAGCCTAGTTTAACCGATTAAATTCATAGTTCTCGTGATATAATATATGAAAAAATGTCAATTGATATTTATGACAGACCAAAAACTGAAGCACGCAAAATGTATAAGACAAAACAAAATTTTGTTCTCTTTTTCTCGAAACATTTGTCTAAAATTGTTTGCTGTCTCATTACTTACCCATTAATGGCCCTAGAGATCTTAAGACAGACCCGCTGTTGTTAGTAAACACTTTTAAATTCCAAGCATGTCTGGCAAATGGGCTATTTTTGGTTATGGCAAAACCATATCCCCAGCTTCCTGTATCTATTGAACCAGATTGCACGCAAATATGGTTCTGTCTTAATGTTACATGTTTCCAAAACTCTTGTTCAACCTAAAATCAATACAATCAAAATAAAACTAAAACAGTAAATCAAACTTACTTCTTCCGCTGTTGGTTCCGGATTCTTAAAATGCATGTTCATAGTATTTCTCGCGATTCTGTAGTAAGCATTTAAAGCAATGGTTTTTCCTTTGACAATGCAATCTTCAGCATCCAGATCATCGTGATCGGAATCTTCCGATTCTTCCTCCATTTCGTTTAGAGTTCCTTGAGCCTTAAGTAATCCTTTAGATTCTCTTTTAGCCCAATCGGTTTCAACCTCATCAAAAAGTTTCTCTCGTTCAGCTAAAATAATTTTTATATTTTTCGTTTAGTTGGTATAAATTTATGTTTTACCTGGAGAAAGAGTGTCATATGGCAACAAATATTTACAATAGATATCGTCTAGTTTGGTAAGTCTGTCTTGTGTAGCCTTTGGAATTTTCATTAGCTCCGAAACTCTAGGCCATTTTTTCTTTTCTATAACTTCTTTTAGACCGCCTAAAATTTGCACTGTTTGGTATAACCGAGGTAAATCAATTTCCATACATCCAATCTAAAAAATATCAATAAATACAAAAATATAAATAAAATGTTCCTACTTACACATGGAGGTTGTGTAAGACTTATATTCTGTGTAGCCAGGTATTTTTTAATGGCCATTAACTCTTTAAAATTGGGACCCCATCTTTGCAGCATCTTATGGACATACTGATTATAAGCAGTAAACCTCATATCGTCTTGTACCTTACATTCAGGCTTAAAACTACTAGGCGGTATAATTCTGCAAATACCAAATGATTCAGCCTTCTGCCTGATTTTTTCAATGTACTCAATTGGATCTTGAAATTCTTGCTCTGTAGGGTGGAAAACCGGGGCTTCAACTAGCTGAGCTAGGCTCACGGTTTTTGGGAATTCCTGAACGTTAATGGGTTGGCATAGTTCTGAGGATCTAAATTTCGCTTTTGCAACTGTTTTTTTGTAGAGTTTTGCGCTAGACGATGAGCTAGCGCTAGGAGAACTAGGTACTTTGTATTTTCCGTCATCTAGTAAGTCTAGGGTTTTCGCGAAACCTTTCACAGCTATTTTGGATTTTGTTAGGTTGGCTGGCGAACTTCTAGATATATTGGATTTATGTTTGGTAGGATTTTGTGGAATGTTAAAGTGGTCATCTGATTCTGTTTGAGAACATTCCAACAAATCTTCTTTGGATTTTGAGTCCTGTTTTGATAGTGGTTTTCGGAATTGACCTTAACATATAAAATTATTGAATTAGTATAAAGACAGGTTTCCTAAATAACCGGGACATATTTTAAAAGTTAATTTATGAGTTTAGCATTTTCAAGAGTCAAGTTTATTTAAAAATAAGTTGAATATAGTACATTCGGGATAATATGAATTGAATAAAATATTTGTTGCATTCTTCTTTGTAGGTTCAAGAGCATATATATCGGTGATATAAAAAAGTTTTTAGAGCCTGTTTGTTTTTATTCCACATAAATCATTACAATTGTGTAATTGTTTGTGAAATAGAACGTTAGATGGGCGGTTTTCATATTTGAGGTCCTTAAAATTAAACACAAAATGGTAATTTAAATTAAAGGGTGTTTTGAATTAAACAAAGAAGTGGTATATATAGTATACTGTATACTGTACAATAATTGAAAAATGCTATGACAATCGACATTACCATCTTAAATATCAGATGAAGTTAGTAAAATCAAAGGGTTGACCTGGAAAGTGAGGGAAAAACTGAGATTTTACACCGTTTGCTCTACACTATCTCATTGTAATGTAAAATGTAATGTAAAATGTTTAGTTCATACAAATTTAAAAATTTGTGACGTAAATACATATCAATAAAGGGTAAATTCTTATATAACTTGTTCCGATGCTGTACCCACCAACTAATACTTTTTTTTAGTGTAATGAGATTGTATCATTTCAACTTAATGGGCAAATGTCACGTAAGTTACCGGTCACCAACTGCAATATCCTGAATATTTCAACAAAATGGCTGTTGAAACAATTAATGTTAGTGCTTAATTAAGTGAAAAATAGACTTAAGATTGACAACAAATTATTTTATTGCCTTTAGAGTCGATTTTATTTTGGTTTTTCATTTGTCCCCACATGTATTGGTCACTGTAATTTAGGGAATATTGTGAAAGCACTGTAGTGAACAAGTGTTTGGGTTTTGTCAACGTGCAAGTGTCAGTGTTATTATAATATTTGTATGTCTTCAAATAAAAATCATAAGTGCTACAAATACAAGTATGTCTATTATGGGTCACTTAAGTTCAACGGCTTTTAATTTAGACATAATCTAACAGTATCAGTATTAAACTTAGGCCAAGTTAGCTTGTTTACGTTTCTGTCTAAGGCGGCATTTTTTAAATTTAACGGCCGAATGTCACATACGTTACTGCTCCTGCTGGTAACTTAAGTGACCATTGGGTAATTTATGTGACAAAAAGTAATTGTAAAGAAGATATAGAGAGCGCATTAACGCAGATCCAAAAAAAATAGAGGTATATTTGGGAAAAATGAGAAACAGAGCGCAGATTAGACAAATTACAAAAAATGATAAGCAAATTGGCGATTTATCACAACGATCTAAAATAAAACTACGCAAGGAATGGCAAGACAGAAAACGTAAAAGCCGTGCAAATTCTATCAAAAGAAGACGCAATCTAGCCGTCTTAGATGGGACAGCACCTAGTCCTCTGCCTCAAGTTACAAATGCGGAACATCAAAATACCATCCGAGGCAGGCAAAAAGTTAGAAGAGACCGCAGTGCTTCGTATCGACCAGTAAAACAACTAGAAAAAGAACTAGTACATGCTACCAAAAAATATATATATATAAACGTAGAGTTAGTCGCTTAGAGAAAACTAAAATTAATAACTAAATAGTACGATCAATCTCTCCATTAACCAAACTGAATGTAGAAGTCGGAGATCAAGTCATTCCAGAGCCAATTAAAAGAAAATTATTGTTTCAAGATACGATACTAGCTTAAGTTCGAGAAAACTACAAGCTGTCTGTAAATAAAAAAAATAAACACTCACTAGCATATGTATGTAAAGGAAAGTATATAAGAAAATATCGGTTCGTTAAAAAGGCGAAAAATGAACTGGGAGCTTGGGCCAACGATAAGAAAAGGAAACTAGATCAAAGTCGTGCCTACAAATTGTGCACAACAATTAAAAATATACTGTCAGGATGATAATAATCCAAACTTCAGGAAAGAAACAAAAAATAACCTATCGCGGTATTAAGAAACAGAAACGTCTGCTTTTAGACAATTTAAGGGCACTGCATGACACATTTTGCAAGGAATTTAACAGCACAGCCAGTGTTGCTACCTTTTCCAGACGAAGACCATTCTGGGCTGTGCGAGCCAAACTTATAGATCGAGATTCGTGTCTTTGCAAAAGACTCGATAACTTACAAACGATGTTAGCCACTTTAGTAAAAGAAAAAGTTACTACATAGCGGAATCTGGAATTATTATGTGATGTTGTATGCTGCAATACCGAATTGTTGCTGTGTATGACTAACGTCTGTAAAACATGCCAAGACAAAAATGCCATTGATGCAAAAGAGGTTGCACATGATAAAGTCGTTCAGTGGTTTGCATGGAAAACTACCAAAGAAGAATGGAAAGAAAATACAAATAACAAAAACAGTAGTTTACCTTCTTCTACTGCTTTAAGCAGTAGAAGAAGGTAAACTTGAAAAGTTTATACAAACATTAAGCAAGCACAATTTTTTAGAATACGACATCAGTTCCAGCAATCCAGAAAATGTAAAAATGAATTGTGTTATGAAGAAGCCGAAGTGGAATGGATTTTTCAGAAAACTACTCCTGCAAATTAAATTCTGAATCAAGTGACACTACATACTGTCGTAGTGTACTTTGTAACTAATAAAGAAAAATATTTTGCACAATATCTGGTTCTCGGAGACATGACCCATCGGCCATATGGGCGCACCTTACCCCCATACTATTAGAACTAAGAGATAGAAATATTGTAGTATTGTAAGTAATTCATTTTTTTCAGCAATATAAAAATAAAGTTAAATTTTTTTTTCTTCAAAACCTATTTCCATGAAATGGGATTTAAATATGGCACATGGAACTATTCCGAAGCTTCTCACGGAAAAGGTGCCGCAATCAAGAGAATAAGTGATAACCTTGTTTCAAAAGGTAAAGATATAGACAATGCTAGAACATTGCTTCAGAAGGAGAAATATAAAACTTCAATTAGGAAGCATTTTATTAAAGAAAGTAAAATTGAACAAATAACACTAAAAATTGTGAAAGTAAGAAAATTCCAGGCATATTTAATAATAATTTAATAATAATAATTTCTTTGGAAAAAGAAAATTATGTATACACAAGAAAGTTAATCATGTTTTGCAAAAAGTTGCCGATAATCGACTATGACTGTTTCAATTTGCAAAAAATACCTGCAATTAAAGAAAATAGCACTACGGTTTCACAAAGCTGCAAAAATAATAATCTTCCATTGGACCAGTGGGAAGGTACTTGTTTCCTATGACAATAGTACTTTACCAGGATTAATAACCGATACTGAAGACGAGGATTATAAAGTAAACACTATGAAGAAAATAGGGGAAAATAAGTACGTTTGGCATAAAGTAATAGTTAAAATATGGTATTACAAGAAGAATATATTAGCTACCATTTCTGTCCCTCAACAAACAACAAAAAGAATATTGGTACTGGAAGCTAATGATTGGAAAGCCGCAACAAGTACTCAAATGATTGTTTAATGTTTATTCTAAACTAAGCAACGTGCAATGTATTTTTATACCCAAATATTTTATGTTTAGTTTAAGAAATCAGTATGTTGCAATGGGCATAAATACTCTTATTTTCTGTTTTATGCTTAAGTAACATTAAATATTGCTAATTAGTTCAGTTAAGTCACATAAGTTACCTTTATATCACTTTGCGTTACTAAATTCGTTTTTCATCATTCAGTTGTTTTTTTGTTTTATAACTAATCAACTAGGCATATTGTGGGGATTCGTATTGTAGATATTAGATAATAGCGGTTTCAATGAAAAAAACTAAAGGGTGTTTTTTAGAGGTATAGAACTTTCGACAGGAATATCTGTCAGAATGGTTACCTGTCTCTGACATTTTGTTTAGTGAACTGTGGCAAATTACCATGCAAAGACTTACACCTGAACAACGTTTACAAATGCGCATAATCGTCCATCTGAGCAGCTTATACGCAATATTATGCATCGATTTATGTCTACAAATACTCTTATGGATAATGTTCACCCAACACGATCTCATACTATGCGTACCGAAGAAGCTATCGCCGCTGTAGAGGTGAGTGTGGTCGAGGACCCAAATTTGTCAATTCGACGCCGTTCTCAACAACTCGGCCTTTGCCCGTCGACTACGTGGAAGATTTTGAGAAAAGATCTTGGATTACACCCGTATAAGATCCAACTGGTGCAGGAATTAAAACCAATGGACCATCTTTTGCGGCGTACGTTTGGGGAATGGGCTGAAAATCAACTGGAAGTTGAACCAGATATTTACCGTCAAATAATTTTTAGTGATGAGGCTTATTTTTGGCCTAATGGATATGTTAACAAACAAAATTGCCGTTTTTGGAGTGAGCACAATCCCCACGAGACTCGAAACCTCATTACATCCCGAAAAAGTCACTGTTCGGTGCGGTTTACATGCCGGAGGCATAATTGGCCCTTATTTTTTCAAATCCGGCCCTAATTGGCCCTTATTTTTTCAAATCGGAGACAACATTACCGTCAATGGTGAGCGCTACAGGCAAATGATTCGCGATTTTTTGGTTCCCCATGTCAATACGTAAACTTGCACTTAGACCATTTGGAAATACCACGCTTTAATTGCTAAAAAAAAGGACAAAAATTACGTCATTGGGACGTACCGAGTATATCCGCTTTAATTTTCCCAAATAAGTAAGAGACTGGACGTACCCAAAACTTCCGATATAGGTCTGGGACGTTCGGACCTATGTGGGACCCGAAATGGACGTCCTCGGTACCTCTTGTGCTATCTGAGTGTACACTCCAAACGGAAAAATATAGAAGTGTATTGGATGACGCCACGTTTGAATACAGTTTTCTAAACCCTCGCCACGATATAGAGTTGTATTCGTCAGTCGAGCGTTTCAATACTCTCCACAGTATACAGGTCGTAATTTGAATTTTTAACTAG